GGCTGCAGCGGGGATGTAGGGCAGACAAGAGTCAGAGATGAAGCTGAAGAGCCAGCAGAGGGCTTTGTGAGCCAGGAATGAGACTGCACTTTAATTATACTTTAATTACTGGTGATAGGGAGTTGTCAGCACGTTTTAATCAAGGAATGAGATGATTGGGTTCTCATTTTGAAGGATTATGCTCCCTGCAGCATAGGAAATGAAGGCTAGGATACTAATCAGGAATGCCTTGGGGAGGGCCCCTGGTTAGATCCCAGGGGATGGAATTAATAGGACTAGAAAACTGATTTCATGGGGTGGGGGGTGGGGGAGAAGCCAGCAACTCCTAGATTTCTGCCTTGGGAAATGGAGTGGGTAACTGGGCTAGGGACACCACGGGGAAAGGAGGAGGAAAGAGGGAGGTGAAAGTTGGTAGGTGGGTTAATTTCTCTGAGCCTGAGGCACTTGGAAGAAATCCAGGTAGAATGCTTACATCTGTACCCCATAAACGCATTAACGTGTACATAAAATATATATATATAAAAAAGATGTAAGAAATGTGGGTCAACTTAAATGTCACCAAATCTCCTATTGTCAGGGACACAAAAGATGAAAATGTTCAAATTTTATTTAACTTAAAAATAGCCATGCTTTGCCACTTGGGAAAAAAAAAAGAAATCCAAGTAGAAAACCTCAGCGGGCAGGTAAACAAAAGCTGCCGCAGTGAATGCACAGGTACAGACTTAAGCATTCTACTTGGACTTCTTGCAAGTGCCTCAGGCTCAAAGAAATTAACCCACCTACCAACTTTCACCTCTCTCCTTCCTCCTCCTCTCCCCGTGGTGTCCCTAGCTCAGTTACCCACTCCATCTCCCAAGGCAGAAATTGAGGAGTTGCTGGCTTCTCCTCCGCCCCACATGAAATCAGTTTTCTAGTCCTTCATAAGGATATCTTTGCTGAGGCTGAACCTGTGCATTCACTGTGGCACTGCAGTTCCAGGACACTGCAGACAGCAAGTGGGCATGGCCCAGAGGAAGGACCAAAGCCCCTGTTCTTCAGGGACTGGTCAGATCATCAAAAAAACAGCCTGCTGGAGAAACTGTGGCTCTGATCCTTTGATTTAGGGCTCACCGATCTCCATCAGCAGCGTAAAACTCCTCTACAACCAGCCAGTCTGAATCCATAAGCCAAGGACTTGCTTAAACCAACAAATCAGTCTTCCCTGGGAAGCTTCCTGGCTTTGCCTTTGTGGGCTCCACCCTCGCCTTGGTTGAACAATCTCCACCAGGGCTGCTCTCGTTTGTATATTACGAATAAATCCCCAGTGTTTTAAGTAATTTTCTCTGTAGTTCAGCACCATAGCATGCTACTCATTAATTCATTGTGCTTTGGAGTTTTTTTTTAAATTAGTCTAGAGCTCCAAAAAGAGGTCTGGGCTAGAAATAATAGTTCAAAGTCCTGCGGGCTGCCGCATGGGAAATCAAATAGAAAAATGTCACAGTTTGTATCAGTAGAATGGTCCTGTGAAATTCTACTTGAGAAAAAAAACAACCATTTAACTTTAGTGAATCCAACATTTCTAAATCATTTGATCTTGAAAGTTTTTTCTTTCCCCCAAATAATCCCATTAACTCTCACAGAACTAGCATTCTATAGAACATACTTTGATAAGTGACAGTTTAGGAACTTTGCAAAAAGTTTATTGATATTCTTATTCATATAAATACTTACATTTTATAACACAAACGTTATCAACCAGGTTGCATAATTTTTCTCAGTTATCTCTTCATTGAAGTAGCTTCATTACTAAGTGCCTTGTAAGCTAAAGTACTACTGTTCATACGGTCAGAGGAGCAGCAATTGCAGGTATAAAATCCAGGAGGAGCTAACCAGCCTCTAGAGAAGTCTTTACTTTTGAAGCATGTCAGGCACATTGAGAACCTGAGGAAAGTTATGTACCATCTTTGTATGGGGAATATTGCATATTTTCACCTAACACACACACACACACCCTGGAGATCTAATAGCCCTAAGTAAAGAAGTCCTATCCTCTAAAACACTAAAACAATTTAAACCTAATGTATGATGGCCAAGTAACGATGCTCTTGAAATCAAAAGTCTTTTGTGTCTGGACAGTGTGCAAAGCCCATCCTTTGGTCAATAACTAGAGCCAATCTCCAATGTCCTTTGACTTCTGGATTCCAGGTTTGCCTGTGGCTCCGCAGCTGGCAGTGGCTACCCAATCAAATTCTATTTGCCACCTTATTTGAGGGTGTTCTTTAGTGAGTCATTATGGATTTTTTTCTGAAATTCATGCTTTCCGTTATCCTATTTGAACTTCCTATCAAAGAGGCCAGTAATAGTGAGGAACTCTGAAGAGAGAATGTATTTATGGTATAAAGAATACTACACTGAGAGATTGAAGATGGGGAATTTTTTCCAAATTATCATTAACTAGCTGCATAATCCTCGAAAAGTCACTCTGTTTGTTCAGATTTCTCAATTATGAAATTATTGCCCTTGCAACTTGCCATGATAAATGAATAAGATAATGCCCATGAAGACCTTTTGCAAACTGTGAGGTTACATGTAAATGTAAGAGAGAATGATCATGATATCATCATCACATATCTATCGTGATTATGAATGAGACTCAGTAAATTCTCCTTATAGTTTTGGTTGCAACTTTGTTGTAAGTCATCACCACTCAGATAATGAGTTGTATTTGAAGATAGCTCAAGTGGAAGTTTCCCAAGGAAGGTGTCTGGCAGAATATTGCATTCATGGCCAAGATGCGTTCACCCTCTACTTTAGAGTGTGGCCACTAGGTCACAATAGGTTGCTATTTAATGTGGTGCTACAACCCACAATTGAATTGTTTCCCATAACATTTGCTTTGCAAGTTCAACTAAACCAGTTTTTAAAAGTTACTTATATGAATAAATGCTTCATCTCTTGAAATTTATTTTATCCTTTGCAATTCTGTAGTATTGCATTGGAAGCATAGTCATTACAGATTTTGATTATAGTTGCTAGCTAGGTTTTTAAAGAAACCCAATAAAAAGCAGTTACTCAGCTCAAAAGAAAAAGTTACCAGTTAAAAAGAAACCTGTCTGGGGGTATAAGAAGTGACAGCATCTATTCCTCCTTGACTCCAGCCTCCCTCCACAAGCTCATACCTATCCTCCTGTTCAGTCCCACAACTCTCTTCAGGATCAGGTTTATTATTTAAAGGGGAAAAGAGGCAGGTATCAACACACCTGCATGCTGACTGTGGCAGGACCTACAGTCTCTAACGTCTTCCACACCATCACCAGACCCTGGTGCCATCCCAATAGGTAGAATGAAGAGGATAAAATCATTCTATCTCATCTCTGTTTCTGCACATCAGAGGACTATTTGGAGATAAAATTAAATATATTTTAAAACCATCTTGAAATTAAACTTTTACATCAAGGTGAGATGTTAGTGTAATGTCATTTGTGTGGCATCTATGTCATACTGAGCAGCCTAACAATTAGAACAAATTAAAAAAGCCTAACGATTTTTGAAAAAAAAACAAAAGCGTTATATGTTAAAGACTTCAGAGAAGACTACCTTTGGAAGTAGAAATTTGGGAGTGTGCCTACATTCAATCATTCATTCATTTTACTAACACTTGTTTATTTATAAATTTACTAAAATTAATTTATTTATAAATATCCACTGTATATATGACGGTGAAAAGACAAGGAAGATGGACATGGTCCCTGCCTACATGGTGTTTATAATCAAGTGAGAGAGAGAATTAAAAAAGCAAGCAAGTTAATACATAATGACACTTTGGGATGGGTTCAATGCAGGGTGGACCAAGAGAAATATAGGAGGCAAAGGGGCCTACTTTGATTGGCTGAGCAGAGAAGGCCTATCTGAGGACAGGGCATTTTAGTTCAGAACTGAAGAGTAGTCCAGGCCAGGGGAGAGTGAGTTCTAATGCCCAAAGGCAGGAAGGAGTGTGGAATGTTGGAGGAGTGTAGGGAGACTTGTTTCAGATCTAGGGAGGGCAGAGAACACTAGAGCAGGTTGGTCAAATATTGACAGCTTGGTAAAATGTTGAATTTTAACCTAAATATAAAGAAAAGCTTTTGAAGGATTTCAAGCAGGGGAGCAAATGGATCAGATTTATCATTTAAAGGGGAAAAGAGGGGAGAGATCAGTTGAGTGGCAACTATAATAGGCCAAAGAAGAAATGCCCAATGGTTTGGACTATGGTGGTAGAGAGAACTGGACATCTGGGATGAATTTGGGGGAGGTGAAAGGAAAAGATCTGGTGGCATATTGGAAACTAGGGGTGAGATAGTGGGAGAGATTAAGGATGAACCTGTGTGAGACCAGAAAATGTAAAGGATGATTGCTGAGCTGAACAATTTACCTCTGAAATGTAAAGGATGGTTGTTAAGCTGAATGATTCAGAAGTGGATGCAGAAAAAGTTTCTGCCCTTCCTTTAATTACCAAAAAGCAGGACATAGATTTACAAAGACAACAGGTATCCAGCCTTCCCTCTCCACCAGGGAAACAAAAGTTAGGCGCTGAAAACAATTTGAGACCCTGTGGCCTGGCAACAGCATCAAAGTCCTACATTAACAAGCTTTATCAATTAGCCTTTACCGGCCATTTATTTGCCTTCCCCCAAATTGTTGCCAGTAGAAACTCCAAGTCTTTTTCCTTTGTCTTGTCCCTTCTCTAGTCCATTACCATTCTTGCTGAGGATGCTATGTAAGCCAGAATTTAAAGCCGCCTCTTTGAGAACTACTCATCCCCTGGGTGTTTCCCATGTATAGATGAAATGTGCATGCTAATAAATTTCTGGTTTTCTCTTACTTATCTGTCATTTGTTACAGGGGTTCATTCCAAATAAGAACTTATGAGGACTGAAGAAAAAATTATTTTTCCTCCTACAGCCCTTTATTGTCTGACTTGAGCAAAGATCTGGGTGGGGACTGTATACCAGAGGCCCCAAGTGAGGTCAGGGATGACTCACCAGACTCTAGAGCACTGTCCTTGGCCTTGGGCTGTACAAGCGGATGCACTAATTTAAGTTCACCAGGTGGTCCAGATGACGGATTGAGGCTGATTCTAACCATATCTCTCCCAGTGTGTTTGTTGGCTATCCAAATCATCTTTGTTTTCCATGTTGAATAGAAGATGCGGTCACCAAAAAGGGACATTGCAAACATGTTGTGCCTAAAAAACAACCAGGGAGGAGAAATGGCAGGACATTTGTTCCTTGGCTTTTTAAAATTTTACTTTATTTCAATTTTGTGTTTGTTTGTTTTGACACAGAGTCTCATTCTGTTGCCCAGGATAGAGTGCAGTGCCCTCAGCCTAGCTCACAGCAACCTCGGACTCCTGGGCTCAAGTGATGCTCCTGCCTCAGCCTCCCCAGTAACTGCAACTTCAAGCACCCACCATGATGCCTGGCTAATATTTCTATTTTTAGCAGAGACAGGGTCTCACTCTTGGCTCAGGCTGGTCTAAAACTCCTGAGCTTAAGGGATCCTCCCACCTCGGTCCCCCAGAGTGCTAGGATTACAGGGATTGTTTGAATTTAAATCACTTACCTTTTCAATTGTTTCTTATTTAGCATTAGAAAAGTATATTAAGTTTATAATTTTGTGTCCTTATAATCTGAACTAGGATATAATTTCTAGCACCATATCCACTGCCTTTATTCTGTTAGCCATCACATAAGTGTAATGAAAACAGGGTAAGAGTGGGTTTCTTGTGACAAATTTCTGCCTCTTGCCACAAGCTGGACAGTCAGTTCCTGGCATGACAGCAAGTCAAATGAAAGATAGGTGCTTCACAAAACATTTGACATTCCAAAAAGTAGAATTCTGGCTAACATGTGAGAACTTATTATATGCCAAATAGTCTGTTGATGATTTTTATTTGCATTTATTTACCTTGCCTTCACAACAATCCTAACATATAGGTACCGTGATAATCTTCACATTAAAGGAAACAGGATAAGAGAAGTTATGACCCAAAGTCATTCTTCTAATAAATTGTAAACTTGGTACTTGAACTACCTCAGTTTAGGTGATAAAAGTAAAATTAATTTATCTTACGAACTTCAAATGGTAATTATTTTGTTTTATACCAAAAGCAAAACTTACTGTGTTTGATATTTGCTAAGATGGACAGAACCTCCATCATAATCACAGGAATAAATATGAGAACTGCTTCCTTCTCTGTCGTAATGAATCCAAAAGAGCCGCTTATCAAGCAGATCCAGTGACATAGCTGTTATTTTCTGTGACGTCTCCAACAGAGTCCTCACTTGCATGCCATTGAGATCTGCTCTGTGAAGGCTGCCGGCCTGCTCTGAAGACCAGAACATGAACCTGAGAGCAAACATGTAGTTGAATGTGTAGTTACCAAAACGGCCAGCTCTTTCAACGTTTCAGCAGCCCCTAGCTCCTGCACAGAACGAGCAGTACTATTTTGAATGAAAATTTAATTCAACAAGTACATATTGCCTCATTACAGAAATTACAAGTGATGTCAAGTTAGAAGGAGAATTGTGTTTCTATAGCAGAATGCCATGATAGTTAGCAGTGTCTGTGGAGGGGGCCTGCCTCAGTCCAAATCCAGGCAACTGTCCTATTGAAAATGGTATTTGTGTGTGGTACAAGATGGCCTTTGACTCAGTGAGAAGGTCCCTTTAAGTTCAAAATGTAATGATTCTATGAATCTTCATTAGACTTAGAAACATATTTCCTTGTCTGAATACAGCAGAATTTACCTTTCTACTGGATCAACTGCTATATTCGCAGGATATTTTAAGGCACTTAAAAGAACACGGGAATTATTTCCTTTCATATCTGTTACTGTAATGATTCCTTCCTGTTGATTTGACCAAATAATTTCTTCATTTATCCAATTTACTGCCATTCCAGAAACATTTTTCTCTATATTGCACACTCTCTGAAAAATCAAATTTCAAAGTTATTAATGATTCCTTATTCACAACAAAGTTATTTTACTGTTATATATAAAAGTCTATTCTTTTAAATATTTGTCACTTCTACCCATTCCCAAAATTATTGAAATGATAAGATAGTCGCAATATGGTGCCTTTGTTTTGATATGGCAATATTAACCCTCACCCCTGAGCCTACCCCACAATCAAATATATCTGGGCATACTATGTACCTCACAGCTTTGAAAATGAAGATTATCCTATACATCTTTGAAATCAGGCATGCTGTATTAATGCCATCAAACACATTCTTATCAGGTAATATGACCATAATGTATTAATAATTTCAACTATCGTTAAGAGTGGAATTTTGATGCTATCTTAAGGACAATTTATTCAATCCCATTTGCTAAAGGAATTTTCCAGATCCTCGACAGATCTCAATTTCAAGCTTTGCTGCATCTTCTCCAAGATTCCCTTGGACTATGAGCATAAAGCCATGGGTTTGGTGAATTACCTGTCAGAATCCTCCCCTTTTTTCTGGCCCTTTCTCCTCCATCCTTTCTGCAGTCCTCTGTGCCCTCATCCCTGACCAGAGAAATAGGGCTTCCCTTTATGCACCCCGACTGAGTGGCCACCACTAGTTATCTCCTAACTCCAATAACGAACAGGTAAACTGATCTTCTTAGAGGATGGAATGTTGCAAGGTGGGCAGAAACCCTGATTTGCACCATTGCAGATTTCTGTGGAGTAAATATTTCCACCATGGCAGAGTTCCAGCTGCTCACGGCCACTCTCCTGAACTTGGAGTTGAGCTGAGATGGCATAATCTCATGAGTCCCTCACCTCACACAAAGAAATCTAGCCAACCCATTTTATCAATTGCTAATATAATCATAGATAAACTCAGCTAGGTCAGTTGTGTTTTAACAGCTGTCCTTCATAAACAATGTTTTAACCCAAAGAAATAACGGTGAAATTTTTGGCATCAGGATGAAACTTTCCTAATGACTTGATATAAAATTGTAACTATTTGAAGTTTTTTTCTTGTTCTGTGACAAGAAACCCTCCAAATTCCTAGGCTCAAGATTTTGAAACTACCAGAAGGGCAGAGAGTAGTGAGCAGCCATCCTTGTTAAAAGTGAGATTAGCAGGTATTAGAGTTGTGATAAAACAGATTAGCACCTAATTGAAGCTTTTAAGAATAACTGGAGAGAGAAAGTTTGGGTTGAAAAATAAGAAAAAAAAACAGTGTGCATTTTGTGTTGGGAATAAATATTTGAAGTTTCTCTAGTCACGTGCACTTTGTAATCCATCTCCAAAGAGTTGAGAGAACATTTCTCCCGGGACTCATTAAGTATTCTACAGCTAAGAACAAAGATTAAGGATCTTTTGTATCAACTTGAAGTAAAATACATTAGATCTGTGGTCTGCTTTATTTTTTTTTTCTAGAGTGCCAACACCTTGAGAATAAAAGGGAAAATTTTTTTCTCCCTACATGTCATGTGACAAAACAGAGGCTTTTTTTTTTTCTTTTTGCCTTTGTTGCCCTTGGTAGAGTGCTGTGACATCACAGCTCACAGCAACCTCCAGCTCTTGGGCTTAGGTGATTCTCTTGCCTCAGTCTCCCGTAGCTGGTACTACAGGTGCCCACCACAATGCCCGGCTACTTTTTGTTGTTATTGCTGCGGTTTGGCTGGGGCTGGGCTCGAACCCCCACCTTCGGTATATGGGGCTGGCGCCCTACTCACTGAGCCACAGGTGCTGCCCTCTAACAGAGGCTTTTATATGTATAAATAGTGTTTCTCACTCTCAGCACTGTTGAGATTTGGGGATGGATAATTCTTCATTGTGGCACCGTCCTGCATATTCTAAGATGTTTAGCAGCATCCCCTCACCTCTAGATGCCAGTGGTTTCACCGCCCTCCTACCTACCCAGTTAGACAACCAAAATTGTTTCCAGAAATTGCCAGATGTCCCCTGAGGGACCAAATCCCCCACCACGCCCCCAGTTGAGAATCCTGGGTATCATGTAAATATCAAAAACAGTCATTGGAGGCCAGCGAGGTGGCTCACACCTGTAATCTAGCCCTCCGGGAGCCTGAGACAGATGGATTGCTTGAGTTTAGGATTTGGAGACCAGCCTGAGCAAGAGCAAGACCTCATCTCTAAAAATAGCCTGATGTTGTGGCAGGTGTCTATTGTCCCAGCTACTCAGGAGGCTGAGGCAGGAGGATCATTGGAGCCCTCGGTTTGAGGTTGCTGTGAGCTGTGATGTCATAGCACTCTACCGAGGGCAACAGAGTGAGACTATGTCTCAAAATTGTGAGCTGTGACGCCACGGCACTCTACCCAGGGCGACAGCTTGAGACTCTGTCTCAAAAAAAAAAAAGTGAGACTTTGTCTCAAAAAATAAATAAATAAATAACCCCAACTATTGGCATAATCTGTGTTAATTATGAAATAGTGATCTGAGTTAATAAATTTAAATATTTTAAAAATTACATTCATGTTCTCCTTTTCTCCTTTTGGGGCTTCTGAATAACAATTTATGGGCCTATTCAATAATATATTACCACAGATGCAGATTAAATAAGTATTTACATTTGGCAGACACATGTTTGAACTGGAATGTAATTTTCATTTTTCTATATAAGAATTCAATATATTATATATGTTAGCCTGTGCAAAAATTCCTTACATACCATGGGTAACGGTACTTTACCTCTTGTCTTGACCCATTCAGAAAAACTCTTTGCAAAAGTTGTCTCTCTAAATCCACCCAATAGATTCTTTCCTTATTGTAGTGAAAATCCATGATCACTGAGGCGCCAGCATCCACTGCCAATTGTTCATGGTTCGTTCCTTCCAAATTGATCCTAAAGATGCTATTTCCATGGGAGAAAATTAAGAAGGGTGCAGGACCTGAGTGGGAAGAAAGAAACCAAACTATATGTTTTCAATACTTTCTCTGATTTAGACAAAATACTTCCCCATGACAGGCAACACCATCAAAAATTATCTTCAATTCTTGGTTTTATGTTTTAAATCAGGGCAATTGTGTAGAGAATAAAGAGTTACTGTAGATCTTCACAGTTCATTTTGTGAATCATCTTCTCCACAAGCTGTAAGAAATAAGCATTGCCAAAATATGAAAAGTGAACTATTTGAAGTTATCTATAAAATGCCTTTTAAGGTTTAAAAAGAAACCACTCACATTTTGACTATATAAATTGGAACTGAAAATACCGATATTATCATTTTGGAAATGGACTCCTCCCTCTCTAGCCTCACCTTATGACTAAAGCCTTCAGGGTGATGACATGGGAGATGATGAAAACCCAAGGAAGGTCTTAAGGGGAAGAGGAAAAAACTGAAATGTTCTCTAGTGAAAGTTCTGAAATATTTAGACCCTGTTGGCTTTGCCACACAACATTCAGGATGCCCAGTTAAATTTGAATCCCATATGTATTGCATGGGCCATAATTTCACTAAAAATTTATTTTCTATGTATCTGAAATTTAAATCTAACTGGGAGCTCCACATTTTTATTTGCTAAATCCAGGTAATGGGCTTCACTGGATTTCTTAGTTCCTATATAGAAACTAAGTGTGCTACTCTGACCCTATATCCAGGGTCAATTCCTGTTCTAGGGGATGGCCACCTACCCACTCTGACACCCAACATCAACATCTGCTTGGGAACCTGGTCCCTTCTTTGCAAACTCACTCCTTATTACTGGCAGACATCACATAGAACTTGCCTTTGACACAAGATGACTCTAGGGGATGGTTTCAACCCCTGCAGATTAGTTTGATTAGTTTCTTTGGTTAGGAGAGACCTGAGGAAGGTGGTGAGGAGGCTCTGCCACTCTGCCTTTAAAAAGTGGTGGAATCACTGGGGTGAATAGGGAATGAAAGAGAATTCTGACAGCTTCCCTGCTGGGCTTACTGTATTCTGCTTTAATATTTAACCTGAATACCTTAATGGGACTTAATAAATGTGTCTATTGTTAGACACATTAGAGGTTTTAAAAAATGATAGATTAGGGGTGGCGCCTGTGGCTCAAAGGAATAGGGTGCTGGCCCCATATGCCGGAGGTGGCAGGTTCAAACTCAGCCCCAGCCAAAAATTGCCAAAAAAAAATAAAAAATAAATGATAAATTAACATCCCCTTACTCAGGGATTATATTCTAGAGTCAGAAAACATTAACTTCACTTTAGAGAATACTCTGGAATACAGATACAAGAGGCAGGGAGAACTATAAGATCATGAGAGTTTGAAAAGGTGCCAGCACAACCGTCTAAGGCAGTGGTTCTCAACGTTCCTAATGTCGTGACCCTTTAATATTAAAGGGTATTAAAGGGTCGCAGCATTAGGAAGGTTGAGAAACACTGGTCTAAGGGCACTAGCTCAAATCACTCTTCCCTTATCTCTGTGACAACATGAGCCCTCTCTCTGCACAGCCATGTGGGGGGTCTACCCTCCATCGCCACTCCTGTTGTAGAATCCCAGAGGCATCTTGGGAGAAATGGGAGGGCCCTGACAAGAGCCAGGGGCTTCCTTTCCAGTCCTGGCCCACCAGCTTCTCTGGACATCTCACAGCATCTCCTCTGCCTCTCTCTGGGGATTATTGAGGAAAGGAAAGGAAATGATAAATGTGAAAGTATTTGATTAATTGTGGAGGACTGCATATATGTCGTTTGCCATTGCTTATTCCCACAATCGGGGTTTCACTATACAGGATGTATGACTGTGGAGATTTGAACCCAGGGACCAGAACGTGGATATTAGTCATCTCTACTGCATCGGTGAATCATGAAGAAAAGGAAGACCCTAAGAAAAGGTACCCTTCACCCATAGCTATTAATCATAGGCCACAGACTACTTACTACAGGCCTGAAGATTGACTGCCAGGTGTCTTCTTTGACACAGGGATCATGCATTCTCTATAAACTGAATAAACATGTCTAGCACGTATTATTAATGTTCAAATACATTGAGACATTTGGTGAGATCAATAGAACGTTTTATCTATTTAAAAGTATCACTAAATAGGAAGTTTCCACATTCCAAAAAAAAAAGGAGAAAGGAAAGGCACTCTAAACATTTTCATATTTCTCATCCTAGAACATGGTAGAATTCTTTGTTCATAATAGGTCTTCAAAATTTTGAATAAGTCAATAAATTAATGAAGAAATAATTGTGTTTTATTTATTTATCTGGGTAAAATGAACAGATCTATCAATTTTATAAAAGAGCCTATCCTATGGTGTTATTTTACCAATGGCAATAGTAATAATGACAAATTTTCACATCTAGATCTTATTTATCCTCAATATGGCACCATGAACTAGATAACCCAGATATTAGTCAATATATTAGAGAAGAAAGGAAAATTTGGAGAATACTTTAATCCATACAACACAACTCATAAGCATTAACTTCCCCCCAAAATACAGAATAATTACAAAAATACTACGCCAAAGTATGAATGATTAATACATTTTATGTTCAGATTTTGCCCATCCAAGGGCAAATCATAGCATGCAGGGTTTAGCACAGCATCTTAGAACTGGAAGACTCCAGACATTTCCTAAATCTTTCCCCAGATTGTTTATTCAAAAGAATCACACAGGAGGCTCGGCACCTGTAGCACAATGGTTACGATGCCAGCCACATACACCAAGCCTGGCAGGTTCAAAACCGGCCTGGGCCAGCTAAACAGCAATGACTACTGCAACAAAAAAGTAGCCAGGCATTGTAGTCGGCACCTGTAACCCCAGCTACTTGGGAGGCTGAGGCAAGAAAATGGCTTAAGCCCAAAAGTTTGAGGTTGCTGTGAGCTGTGACGACATGGCACTCTACTGAGGGCAACATGGGGAGAATCTGTCTCAAAAAAAAAAAAAAAATCACACAGGATGCCTCTGGGTATGCCTGTGTGTGTGTGATTTTTGCACATTCCTGCCCTTGAGAGTCCAATTAATTCAGTATGGGTGGGCTGACAGCTACAAATGTGTTTTTTGAACAGTCTCTCCTGGTGATTCTCATGTCTTGGTGAACCTGGAAAACAGATTTTGTTAAGAAGATTCAATGATGCTTCCCAAAGTCCCACTCTTAGTTAGCAGTGGAACTGAAATTAGAACCCGGGTACTGCCCTCTCTATCCATTGCTCTCCAACTCTTTCCTGCCTTGGTCTGGGCTGTCGTGTGTCAAGACACTACAATCTTCATTTTACTCGTGTAACTGATTCTAATCCCACTTCTCTCCAAATACTGTTCATTTTCTCTACACTGCCAACATCCTTTTATGTAAACCAGGGTCCAGGCTGTATTTGTAGAAATGAAATATAATATGATTTCAAAGACAATTCAACACTTTGGGATTTAGGCTTGGTGAAATAGTCATTATTCTGTTCTACCCCTGAAAATGATAATAGTGATAAATCTTCTGATAGTGTTCTTTCAGACCTGTCAAGGACTCTGTAAACAGTGGTGTGTGGTACAGTCTGCGGATTTGAATGTCAGCAGGTGTGTGTGTTTGAACAGCTAAAGCTTTCCCACGTCAAAACCTACTGCGTTTATGGCGACTACAGTTCAGTAAGAGGGAAGTGCTGAGAAAACGAAACATACAGCTGACAGTTCACAGCAAATCAATTAGAACCTCTGACTTTTTTTTT